ATTTGCATTTTACAATGCAACTTAGAATGCTGTTGATGCAGAAAATGATATCAGAAAGAGACAGGGGCTAAGGAAACCAATGATGAAATAGGTGAAGTAGTCCTTCGGCCTGAGGATCCAAACAGAGCAGTTACTATGGAGACCATGAGCAGGAGCTGGAAGATAGGTCAGCTGGTGATTCCCGCTTCTAGGACAAGCTTCCATTTTTTTCTGTATGTGCTCTAATTAAGAAATCTTTAAAGGCCGGGCGCGGTGGCTCACGCCTGTAATCCCAGCACTTTGGGAGGCCAAGGCGGGCAGATCATGAGGTCAGGAGATTGAGACCAGCCTGGTCAATATGGTGAAACCCTGCCTCTACTAAAAATACAAAAATTAGGCAGGCATGGTGGTGTGCACCTGTAGTCCCAGCTACTCAGGAGGCTGAGGCAGGAGAATCATCTGAACCTGGGAGACAGAGGTTGCAGTGAACCAAGACTGTGCCACAGAACTCCAGCCTGGGTGACAGAGTAAGATTCTGTCTCAAAAAAAAGAAAAGAAAAGAAAAGAAATCTTTTCCATTTATTGTGTGGTGGGGACTGCTATTGCCTCCCACAATATCTTTCACTCCCTTCTGTAGTAATAAAAGTTTCATCTTGATCAATCCAGTCAAAAACTAAGTTATCTAGCCTCTCTTGAGGCTAAATATGACTAACTGTACGGCCAGGTTCAAGCCTACTGGGATGTGAACAGAAACTGTGTGTGCAACTTCTAGGATGTTCCTATAAAAGGAAAGGGGCGTGCGCTCCATTCCTTCCTCTTCCCTCTCTCCTGGGCTGGAATGTGGAGGTGGTGGAGAGCCACCTTTGATCATTTGTTCAAGGAGAAGCCTGTACAGATGGTAAAGCAACAAGATGATAAGAGCCTGGGTCCACACAGAGTTCACCTGTGACCCTGGGCCGCCTGCTAGGACTTTTTCAAAGGGAAGAAACCTTTATCTCATTTAAGCCATTGTATTATGGAAAAAATTTGTTATAGAAGTCCAATATGTGGCAACAAAATTCTTCAGAGTAGTAAAGGAGATGGAATCTCTCATGCAGGTTCTGACCTGGATGGCTCCCTAAGTGTAAGACATGGTAGGAGACTTTGTGGCAAGAATAGCTATCCTGGGAGTTAGATCGGGATTTGAACACCAGCATGCCATTGGCTAAATGGCCTCAAGCATATTATTTTACCTTTCTGGACCTGTGAGTTTTTTTCTTGTTGCTGTTTCTTTGTGTCCTTCTATAGAATGGGGAAAATGGTGGTGCTACTATAAAGAGTTGAGATGGTATTTGTAAAAGTCTGCACCTTAGTCCCTGGCACATGGTGGGCCTCTATCATGGCAGGCATTGTCATTATGAATAACTCTGGGTGAAGTTGGCAGGGGCAGCTAGCTCACCAGGAAGGGGCATCCCAGGAACTTGAGCATACAAATGCACTTCTCTCTCAATCCGCACCATATTTGCTTTTTTTTTTCAGATAGAGTCTCACTCTGTCACCAGGCTAGAGCGCAGTGGCGCGATCACTGCAACCTCCGCCTCCCGGGTTCAAGCGATTCTCCTGCCTCAGCCCCCCAAGTAGCTGGGCCTACAGGTGTGTGCCACCATGCCCAACTTATTGTTGTATTTTTAGTAAATATGGGGTTTTATGATGTTGGCCAGGATGGTCTTGATCTCTTGACCTCGTAGTCCACCTGCCTTGGCCTCCCAAAGCACTGGGATTATAGGTGTGAGCCACCGCACCCGGCCTCAATGCTTTTATTTCTTTTTGCCATCTCCATAAGAGAGTAGGATTTGTATTCCTCTCTTATGAGTCTTACCTTTTAATTGCAGTCTTGTTGCTAGCAAGATAGGCAATCTTGGACAAGATTGATTAGGTTTGTGATCATCTGAACATTCAGGGGTTCTGCGAGACCAACAGCCCTGGTTTGGAGTTGAGTTTACAGGGTAACCTCAGTTTCCAAACTGAAGAACGAGACTTAGCTGCTTCCTCAGTCAGGTTTATTGCACATGTCGAGAAGCAACTGACTCCATACCAGCTTCTTTTCACCCTTGTAAGGGCCATGGTTCAAACTGATGGGACTGTCCTTATCAGTCCTGCAACCCTAACTAATCAGGGGAAACTTCTTGACGCATAAGCTACAAGGAAGAAAAAGGGAAACAAAGTTTTCCAGGAGGCCAATGGGTGAATGTCTTTTCCTTCTGGGAAGCGTTTGCTCTGAATTCCTGCTCTAGAAAGAATCACCTTGTTAAGTAAGAGTTCTTCCTCTCTTTAACTTTCTGTATACAGACCTTAGACCAGTGAATCTCATGCTCACAGTAGATCAGAGTCACCCGGAAAGCTTTTAGAAAACTCAGATCCCTGCACTCTATTGGCCAAGAAATTGAGACATGATTGATCTGTGGAGGGGCTCAGGAAATGGTATTTTGAGAGAAGGACTCAAGCTAGTTTTTATAGAGAGTATTTTAGATAGAGTGCATGGGCTTGATCCTTGGTTAACACTTTTTATGGTGATTGGCACTCAAACAACATTTCTGATGGAGAGAATGGGACTCCCATGTCTTGCCCTGGCATCTGGAAAGCTCAGAGCTCCTGCTCCTCGAGTGCTGCTGCTGCACCTCCACCTGCACCCCCACTTCACTTGTGTGGAGGATTCTCAACCTATTTTAGAAGCAGAGGCTTATTAATGTGAAGGCCACTGAATAGCCTTGAAGTAGAGTTTCCATCCAGATGAACGTCTAAATATTTTCAATCTGAGATTATTTTCCTGACTACAAGAAGAAGGAAGACATAATTTTCATGGTTGACTTGAGAGAGGCAGACTGCCTGCCCCACCCTCTCCTCTCCTTCCAAACTGATCTTTCTTTTTGGTGTCATTTGGCTCTTGGTGGGAGGAGCAAGGAGGAAACTCTTTCCCAGGCAAGAATATAAGCACCCCATCTCTTGCAAGGAGCAAGTGCATTTTGGAAGAAGAGCCCTCTGTCCCCTCCAGGGAAGACTGTGGGAATGCGAGCCCCTATTTTTTTTTAATTCCTGTGGTCGTTGATTTATTCTCCAATTCTAGTAGACAACCAAGGACTCTGGAATTGGTCACAAAAGCAACTGTGGGAGAGGAGATGAGAGCTTTTGTGTAGTGAGGTAGAAGTGGAAGAGGCCAGAAGGAAGGGAGTTGAAGAGATTCCAACCACATGGCCACTCCAAAGCTGCAAGGGCACCGTCCTAGTGTCCACTAGCCACTCTGCAGCAAAGGGCACGGTCAGCTGACTGTTCCAGCTGCATGGGATGCGAACGGTCCATCACCCGCCCATGCCCTCGCTCTGGGCCCACACTCTTCTGTCACCTCCCTGCAAGTGGGTTCTTCACTGAGCACCCTTCTTGTGGCTACCTAACCCCCAAGAGGGGAGGCAATGCCTGATCAGGATCTCCCAGCTCCATGATAGGGTCACCTTCTTCAAAGCCCCCAGCTCTCATTCCAAGAAAACTGTAAAATTGAAGACAGTCAGAATACCTGGTATCTGGGTTCCCTAGGGCTGCCGTGGCGAAGGTACCACAACCTGGGGGGCTTAGATCAACAGAATTCTACTGCCTCCTGGTTCTGGAGGCTAAAAGGCCAAAATCAAGTTGTCAGGAGGGCCATGGGCTCTCTGAAACCTGTAGGGGAAGCCTCCTTCCCTGCCTCTTCCAGCTTTTGGTAGCTCCAGACATTGTTTGGCTTGTGGCAGCCTCACCCTAATCTCTGTCTCCATCTCACATGGCTTTCTCCCTGCATGTCTGTGTCTTTTAAAAAGAAAAACAGTCATATTGGATGAGGAGCCCACTCTGCTCCAGGATGATCTCACCTTAACTTATTACATTTGCAGTGACCCAATTTCCAAATAAGGTCACATTCTAAGATACTGAGGGTTAGGCTTCAAATATCATTTTTTTGGCAGGGAGGATATAGTAGTCTGTTTTCAAGCTGCTGATAAAGATGTACTTGAGGCTGGGCAATTTATAAAAGAAAGAGGTTTAATGGACTTACGGTTCCACATGGCTGGGGAAGCCTCACAATCATGGTGGAAGGCAAGGAGGAGCAAGCAATGTCTTACATGGATAGCAACAGGCAAAGAGAGAGAGCTTGTGCAGGGAAACTACCCCTTATAAAGCCATCAGATTTCATGAGACTTATTCACTATCACAAGAACAGCACGGGAAAGATCTGCCCCATGATTCAATTACCTCCCACCAGGTCCCTCCCACAACATGTGAGAATTCAAGACGAGATTTGGGTGGGAACACAGCCAAACCATGTCAGAGGGAGGCACAATTTAACCCAGAACACTTGGGATCATGAGGAGTATGAACTGGAAATGCCTGAGCCCCCTAAACTGGACTAAGGAGACAATCCCTCCCTCTCTCCTACCTTTCCTCCTCTCTCTCCCTTCTTTCCCTCTCTCTCTTCCTCTGCTCCCTCCCTCCCTCCTTTTCTTCCTGCCTTCCCTCCCTCCCTTCCTTCCTTCCCTTACCCCTTCCTCTTATCCTTTCCCTTCTTTCTTTCCCTCCCTCTCCCCTGTCCCCTCTCTTTCTTCTTTCCATTACTCCTGCCCCCATGTCCTCTTCCCCTCCATCTGTCCATCTCCTTAGGAGGCCCCCAGTGAGGTGAATAGATGAGGAATGTCAGGCTGCCCAGGATGGCACCAGCCAGCTGGCTGCTTGCAAGTGGCTCTATGGGCCCTAGGGAAGGGAGGAGGCCAACCTCCTCCATCTGAATGCCCTTCTGCTTTACAAGCCTTGTCTATGCTGCCATTTTTAGCAGCAGCTTAACTTGCAGGGACACTGCCCTGGTCCTCAGCTGCCATCCCAGACCTGCAGGCGATGACTTGGCACTCCTTCCCTGCTGTCATGGGACACTCACCACCCGCTGATAGCCAGCCTGCTTTTTTGACATTGTGAGGCATCTGCCTGGACAGCCGAGGACAATGCTGCAGTTTCCGTGGAAACCTGAGTGCCGGTAAGGACTCTAGTGGGGACTCTACCCCACCATTGCGCAGGCTCTGGGAGAGCTGTCAAGAGGCTAGGAATGGTGGTCAACCACCTGAGTGAGGTCTCTCTGATCTGTGACCCAAGGGATGTCACTCACTCTGCAGCAAGGGGCCCTCTCTGGGCCTCAGCTTGCTTCTCCAGTGAGAAATTGCCAAGCCTGGCCACCTGCCTGAAATGAGGGTAAGAGGAGACAGAAACAGCACAAACACAAACTAACATTTAAAGGGATTACCTTGTCAGTTGCATGGGACTCTCTTTTGCTGTCCATGGAGATAGCTATAGGAAGAGGGATGGAAAGACGGAGGAGGGGGTGGGACCTGATTCCTTGATGTAGAGAGAGATACAAGAAGAAGCAGAAGGCTTGGTTTTGATAAGAAGCATTTTAGATTTGGCCATCCCAGGGGCTCAGATGATGCAGTAGTGGAGGGAGCCAATCTCGGACTCCCTCTTCTCCTCAATTCTTCCCTGGGTCATGGTGCAGCTTGGGACCTCTGAAGGCTTTGGCTGCTCTCTGTGGAAGACTTTGGGAGAGCCAAAGTCTATGTCAGCACATGGCCTATGGGCAGATTCACAAAGGGCATCTCCCATCTTGCTCTGCTGTACGAATGAATGGTTATGAAGCCTTCACAGGTACCACAGAGAGGCCCCAGGGCTGAAGACCATGCACATACTCTTTTAGCTTTGAAAAACACTCACAAAGGCAGTTATTAGTTATAGCACCTTGTTTAGGGACTTTATAAGACACAATTTTTGTTTATCAATTTGTAGGAACATAGATCATTTACTGTTGCTAACTGTGGTTCTCCTGTGAGAACCTCTCTCTCTCATGCTTCCTTCTTCCTGGTAGTTATAGAACCACTCAGACTACATTTCCCAGCTCCCCCAGCACCTAGCCATGGTCATGTGACTACATTCTAGCAAATGGGATGCTATGGAAGTAATGTGTGTAAAGCTGCCAGGGAAGCTGCTTGCCCTCCACATCTTTCACCAAAGCTGGAAGGTGAACTTGGGGTAATGAACCAGTCCTAATAAGGCTGTAACCAAAGGGAACAGTGGAACAGTGAAATGAAAGGAAGTTGGATCCCTGTATGATCTGCCAGATCAGAGCAGCTGCCCTCCATCCTCTCTCCCGAAACTGCCCTGTTCAGCTCAAACTTTAAAGGAGAGAAAAATGAACACTCCATCTTATTTAAGTCACTCTTATTTTTATCTCTGCTAAAGCAACTGAACCAACATATACAAACTGGATCGATAAGTAATTTGCGCTGTGACTTTGCTTATTATCATGCACGTATATTGGTCTCCAAAAAACATGAGTGTTAAATCTTGTCAAAAGTTTGCTCACATGTTACCTGTTTTTTCCTGCCAACCAACACCACACACCACTTTCTCATAAAGGGCTTCTTAGATCCAGGAAGCTAACCCAGAACCCTTTAAAAATGATCATATTCTCAAACAGCTAATAGAAAGGTCAATTCAGAGTGATTTACCTTCAGAGACGGACCCTCAGAGAGAACCCTGTATTGGAGAGTTGTAAGAAGTCCTGTGGGCTCTATGACCTCGTATCTCAGATTTTTAGGACAATTCTAATTTAAACTATTCTGGCCCAGTTCCCACAAACGTATTTATAAGTGTGCTTGCTATGGTTTTTGTTGAGAAATGTGGTCGCAGTCCCTACAGGCCCCTCAGCTGATTGTCATCCCTTCTGGTCTTCCTCTGGTCTTCCTCCTGCCAACTCAGGAAGGTCTAAACTCAGGGGACAGAGGACCGCTCCCTTTGAGCTGCTCCCTCCGAGCTGCTCCCTCCGGCCCCCTCTCTGACGGACTTTTTCTATTCTAGGACTGAACTGTACTGCACTCATTTGTAGAGAAGCTTTTTTTTTTTTTTCTTCCTTTTTGGAGAAGTTAAGCTTCTTTAGAGATTAAAGTTGGTTTCCTCTAGCTTCCTCACAAACTCACAGTGTTAAAACTGGGTCATAGAGACATAGTTGTTCCATTTTCTAACCAGACAATAGCTTCAGGCAGTGCCAGAGTTCTCTTCCTCTCTGCCCGCTTTCTGGAGCCCCAGGAAGCCACTGAGCAAATCCCTCCTGCTGGGAGTGGACAGACCTCCTTTGCACCTGCCCTCCTCCCTGGGCCAAGGGCACTTGCCCTTGTCACCAGCTTAAACTGTCCCCTTTTCCTTTGTCTCTAATTTATGCTACTGGCCTCCAGGGGGCTCCCCTCTGCTCCTGCTTCCCTCTCCTTCCCTCCTCCCTCTAGGATGCATTCTAATCAAGGGCAAGGACATTTTTTGGGGTCATGGTGCTAGGGGTGGAATTTTTGTTGGTCCACAAGGGCTTCATGCGTTGAGACTGTCATAGATGGTATCATCATTCAAAAATATTTCCTGGCCTTTCCTGAAGGAGAGGATAGTTCTCTATCCCCCGCCCCCCGCTGACATCAGATTTGACACTGTGACTTGCTCTTGCCAAGAAATGCAAGCAAAAGTGATGTGACATGTGTCACTTCCAGGCAAAAGCTTTAAGAGCTTGGTGGTTTGCTGTGTGTCTTTTCTGTCTTCCACAAGATGGACAACGGTTCAAAAAGGGGCTGCTTCATCAGCCTGGATCCCAAAGAAGATAACATGAAGCGGGGACATACTTGACCCATGACAGATGGGCAGCTTGAGCAAGAAATAAACCTCTCTGACTGTCAGTCATTGCAGGTTGGGTATGTTGTTATTGTAGCATAATCTAACCTGTCCTGACTATTTTAGAACATACATAGAAATGATCTCAGACTCTTTTTCTATGAAGCTCTGGTGAGTTGGGCTTGGGGTAGGCATGCAAGGAGACTGCTGCATCTTGAGAATATAGTGTGGATGGATTAGTCCACCTCTGCTCTAGGCCTTAGAAAGAACCCCACCACTCCCCACGCCCTACTCCACTCTCTTTTCTGGCCCTGGAATGACCTTAATGTTATCTGTTTCCATATATGCCTGTGTATTAGTCTGTTTTCACACTGCTGATAAAGACATACCCGAGACTGGGTAATTTATAAGGAAAAAGAGGTTTAATGGACTCACAGTTTCACGTGGTTGGGGAGGCCTCACAATCATGGCGGAAGGCAAAAGGCACGTCTTCCATGGCAGCAGACAAGAGACAATGAGAATCAAGCAAAAGGAGAAACTCCTTACAAAACCATCAGATCTTGTGTGATTTATTCACTACCATGAGAACAGTGTGAGGGAAAACATCCCCAGGATTCAATTATCTCCACCTAGTAGCTCCCACAACACATCAGAATTATGGGAGCTACAATTCAAGATGAGATTTGGTTGGGGACACAGCCAAACCATATCAGCCTATTTTTATCTCTGTTCCACCTTAAGAAAGGATGCAGTCTCTCTTCCCAGGCACCAGAAAGAGGCCATTGCACTAGAAGAGCTGATGATAAATATTGATTTTACTGAAGATCTCACAGGAAAGATAGAGAGAAGGTTCATATCATATCCTCAATGCCAACTGCCTAGGCATGTCTTTAGCAGTTCTCCATTGGCTTTCTGGAGCCAAAATACTTAGGTTCACATCTCAGCTTTACCACTTAATGTGTGATCCTGAGCAAGTGAATTAAATTCTATGTCTGAGTTTTCTTTTCTGCAAATTGGAGACAATGACGCTTCCTGTCTACTAGAGTTGTTATTCTTAGTCTCTGACAAGCATGAAAGTTAGACTCAGACTAACCTCTTCTTGGTAACTTTATTCTTTACCTGTCTTCTCTGCATGACCAGAGATACCTCTGTAAAATGAGGCTGAGCAGGAATATCAAGCCTGACACACAGCAAATGCACAGCAAATGTTAGTCATCATCATCATCGTTATTTCAGCTATAAACAATCTTCATCAGATATGCTTGCTTTTCTAAGTCCCTTCCTGCCCATTACGCTATTGGTAGCTGTGACTTTCTTTTTTTTTCTTTTTTTTTTTTTTTTTTTTGAGACGGAGTCTCACTCTGTCCTCCAAGCTGGAGTGCAGTGGTGTGATCTCGGCTCACTGCAACCTCTGCCTCCAGGGTTCAAGCAATTCTCCTGCCTCAGTCTCCCGAGTAGCTGGGACCATAAGTACATGCCACCATGCCAGGCTAATTTTTGTATTGTTAGTAGAGATGGGGTGTCACCATATTGGCCAGGCTGGTTTCGAACTCCTGACCTCATGATCTGCCTGCCTCAGCCTCCCAAAGTGTGGGATTATAGGCATGAGCCACTACGCCTGGCCTGTGCCTTGCCTTTCATTTGATCTTCTCCTGTGTTGTGTCCAGCCTCATGGGCTCCTGTCCCTCCCCTTCTGAATTGAAGCTTCCCCAACACAGTTGAGTCCCTTGTGTATTTGGGATCTGGCCTTTGTGCCCTCCTCTTTCTCTTCCCTTCTACACTCCACACCGCCACCCCTACCACAAGCACACATATCTCTGGCTCTTCACCATCCTACTTTGGAGACATCACTTGCAGAAAATAGCCTGTAACCTACTGTGAAGTTCCCTTCCTGGGGAAAAGAGGCCATCTTGAGAACTTATATCCTACAGCCCCCAGCCTCCCATGCTGGGACCTTCTCACCTCTTCTGTCCTGGCAAGCAGCCAAGTGTGGCTCAGAGGCTGAGCAGAGGGAAAGATGTTGGCCCTTTGCTCCTCAGCATCGGTGGGCTTAAGTCTGGTCCACAATCCAGACCTAGAGTGTTTGCATTTGAAGGCTTATTTCCACTCGAGTGAAACTCTAGTTCAAGGCCTTCCAGGCCAATGAAAACTTCCAGCCAACTGAGACCAAGCAAATGTGGCTGTATCCACATATTCAGAGCCAGGCCTTGGGCAGGGCAGGTGACAAGGAGCATGTCATTTGGGGGAACCTAGCACTGAGTGAAATCATCACAGTTAATTCTTTACTAGCTGTGTCACAATTTTGGCTCATTTTAATCTTGGTATTCAATGAAGACCCTGAGGTCTTCCTCCTGGGTCCCCTGCATTCTGATGAAATTGCCTTTAGTGTCCCAGGAGGCTGTGTGGTTCAGAGCATGGGTGTGGAGTCAAGAGATGTCCATTCAACTCCAGGTTTCACCCTAAAAAGCAGTGTGAGGTGGAACAAGTTATTCTGAGGCTCAATTTTTTCATCTATAAAATGATCATTATTACCATCATCATCATCATCATCATCATCATCATCATCATCATTATCAATCACCCTGCCCCCTGCCTCACAGCCTTATTAAGGTCCAACAGGATAAGGTTTGTAAAGTGTTTGGCCCAGGGCCTGGGACCTGTTGTTCCTGCTTCTGCTGTTGTTATTTTACTATTATTGTTTCAGGTCACCTGGCCCTCCAGGGCCTCTTTGTAACTCTTACAAAATGATCTCTGACACTCTGAGCCTGTTTTTATTTGGAATCTTAGGGAAAAAAGCATTTGTGAGGTCCAGGATTTAATCTTGTTTGTCCTCGGGGCATGTGGCTATTAATGAGGGTTGTTTACGGAGGGCCTGCCCATCCTGCTGAGCTTATGTGCAGTGCCTTGCGTGATCCTCACAGTGGCCCTGTGAGGTCAGCATTATTATTTCCATTTCATGAATGAAGAAGAGGCCCAGGGAGGTTGAGGCACTTGCTCAAGTTCACACATCCAGAAAGGAGCCGGATTGGAGTAGGAACCTGCGTCTGATTCATTTTGCAAAAACTTTTCTAGCACTTTCTATGCTCCTAGCACTGTTTCAAGTACTTTTTAAATAAGCATTAATTGATGTCATCCTCTTAACAACCCTATGAGGTAGGTACCATGACTGCCCCCCTTGTGTAGATGAGGAAACTAAGGCACAAAGAGGTTAAGCCACTTGCCCAAATTCACACAGGTTTGCATGGCAGTGACAAATTCACTTTGGCAGCTTGACCCCAGCTGCCTCTCAAGGGTGTTCTTTCCAATACACGTCACTGTCTCTCACAGGGGTCCTGCTTTTTCAGTGGGTACATAGGCTGCCTTACTGGTACAGACATAACCCCTTCCCTGGTCCCCTTCAAGCCTCTTAAAAGGGAAGCCACTGCTCTGTATTCATCCCTCCATGACTGCAGCCTGCCTCTTCTGCTTCCTCCTCAGAAGCCAGTGGGTTTGTTCTGCAAATTGCTAGAGTCAGAGGAGGCCAGGCATTGTTTAGGCTGCTGGTGGTAACGGCCAATGCCAACTACTGGACCAGAGCCAGACCTGCCCCCGTGCCAAACCCACCACAGGGAGGCCCGCTGTACCTCCTCCTGGGAGGTCTCCCTAGGGCATCACCGGAGAGCATGCAAAACAAAAGCCACACAACCAAACCATTTTTCCAAGGAGGGCCTGCTTGCCCAGGACGGTAAAATCCAACTCCCATCAGCCTGTATTCCGGTAGATGCATTCGGTGTGTCCCTTGGCAAAATAACATGGTCATTGCTGTAGAAGATTGCCCGCTGCCTTCCCCAGTGGATGCTCTATCCTTCACCAGTGCTCATGGGCATTCGTGGAGGGGTCCTCTTCCATGGCCAGCCAACAGCCTCACTTCTGCACCCTGGCTCGTACCATCCAGAGTCTGCACCCTGGACTGACTTAGACTAGGAAAAGACTTTAATCAACTGGTTCCATCTCTCCAGCCCACACCAGATATCTGGGGAATCCTAAAAACACCATCTCTGCCTGAAGAAATTCCCCTAGCATCTGCTAAAGCAGGCTAGCAAAGAGGGAAGGGGGCTCACTCCGTCTTTTAACAAATTGACTTATTAGGAAGTGTCCTCACATCCTGAGTCAAATCTACTCTCTTAAAATTTTCTCCCATTCTCTTCGTGCATGTTCTGGAGTAACAAGATCAAGACTGTTTCCTCCCCTACATGACAGCCCTTTAATATTTAAAAGCAGCTGTTCTTTTTTTTTTTTTTTCAGTCTCCAATTCCCTAGGCTAAATATATCCAGTTCTTCCATCTGTTATTCCAACAGGATGGTTCAGAATTCCTTACCATTTGGGCTGTCCTAATGGGAGAATGCTCAAGATTGCCAATATCCCCTTTAAAATGAGGCCCCAGGAACTGAACCCACTGTCAGAGCTGACTGTCATCTGGATTCCCTGGGCGTGAGCTGCATTTATTTTCCTTAGGAGCCAGGTTGCCCTGTTGGCTCACTCCAATCTGCTCTTCTCACATAAGCTGCTGCTGGTTATGTTTCTCCCACATTCTAAACTTGAACAAGAGAGTTTTTAGATCTAAATGCAGGCTTTTATATTGATTACTATTTAAAATCCTTTTAATCCCTTTTAAAGGAAATTCTAGTCAAATTCAACATGTTCCCATATCAACAGCATTATTTTACCTTTCCATTTCGTATTATCTTCAAATCTAAAAAAAAAATTTCCCTTCACACATTTGTCCAAGAAAAATGCTGAAAAATTCTGCCAGAGCATCTGGGTTATCCACGAAAGAGAATCCTCCAGAAGAAGGTCAATTGAAGAGATGGCCTGCCATGCTAATCATAAACAAATTCTAAGCAGATGGCTTGGAAATTCGTTAGAAAATGGATGATGTGATCACCATCCGTCAACCAGCTGATTAACTCAACCAGCTATTAATACTCTGGGTAACATTCCATCTCACCCACAAACATATCATGGTAGACTTTGTCAAATGCTTCATGGAAATCAAATCATGTAAAGGATAAGTCTCCTGACTTTAAAA